TTATTAAATTTCTCATTTAATTGATCTCTCGTATATAATCCCCTTCTTAGTTTCTCATTCAATTCCATCCTTACGTCGTCAAATTTCTGTCCCACTTTTTCTTCTAATTTATTAAGATTATCCAGAACCTTCTGTTCCAAATATTCTTTTAAATGCATATCAGGCCTTCAAATAAATAGGTATCTGAATTTACACCCTTCTGTTTCAACGCTTCTTAAAGCCTCTGCTGCAACACATTATTTTTTCCAGTTGTTTTATATTTCCTTTCTTTCAGCTTCCGCTTGAGGTCCGCCACCCTTAAGCCCATTATCAAAACCCACCAATTGTAACGTTTTTGTGGTTTAACGGTGTGAATAAAATACTCACTGGTTTATTAAAGAACTAAACAATTTATTTTTTACAAATTATTTACAATGAAAACACCAAAAGAATATTAACTACTAAATACTTACAACTATTGTACTAAAGTCTATCTATTTTCACGTATATTTAATTTATTTTGTGGCGTGGTGACTCATTGCCGATAAGAGCGGTACTCGCTACAATATTAACTGTAAGATACAAATTATACAAAATAGTTTATCAAATCATAGTCCTATTCAAGTTAATCTAAAAGAAAATATTAAATAATTTGTTTGCAAAATGAATCATAGGGTAACTTTGAATAAGCGAAGATTTTATAGACTTGTGATTAATAAACTTAATGATTTTCAAATAGACTTATTCAGTGAACTTAAATTAAAATTAATAATAAATGTAAAATAACGGCTAAAAAAGAGGTTACAATAAAAATAATTGGGTAATAGTAGACTTTTTAAATTTAATTAAGGAAAGAGAGGCAATCTACAAATCAAAAATGAAACATACAAATATTAAACAACAAAATTTAAAGTTATAAATAATAAAATTAATACCAAATAAATACCAAAAATAATGGGCAATAATAACATTACAAGTCAAAGTCAAATAAAAAGAAAAATTGTAGTCATTTAATAATAAATGATTCAAATATAACACCTGACACAGGGCCGGCTTAAGGCAATCCAGCGCCTTAGGCACTTAAAAATTTGGCGCCTATTACTAGATACTATACTTACTTACTTACCTTATTATCCCTTATAAATAAAAATATTTTTTATTAAAAAAATACATACATACAAACATAATTTAAAAATGTTTAAGACGAGTTATTGTTTTAGACATATTTTGATTTAGTCTTAAAATGAATAAGTCAAAAATGACTAATTATAATTATTATATAAGTCATATATATTGAATTATTGTCATAGCGACAAAGCAGTCACTAATAATTATTAGCAGTCACTAATTATAATTAGTCAAATTCTACGAAATGAAACAGTCAAATTAGTAGACGCACCTCTGCTACCTATTAAATTTATGATATCTGTCAATAAATATTGTTAATAAAATTGTTAAAGTTGAATAAATTTTTTGTGTTGGAGCTAAACTTTTTGCATCTTTATTTTTAAGGACCATGGAGCCTATATGCATTTAACGCCGCAAGAATTCAAAACGATTAAATAAATCAGTTACTTATTACTCTCAGTAACAGTAAAATATGGCGACTTATCTTAAATTAGTCAAACTTTAACTAATTAAGTATACTATAGTAAAAAATAAATATTTAAAAGTAAAAACGACTATTTAATTAGTAAACAATGCTGATACTAATTCAAATAGTAGAATTTTTACTATTTCATTTCAAGAGAGTAAATAACCATATTTGGTAAATTATAATTATATATATATATATATATATATATATATATATATAATATAAGTAGTTTAAATAAACTTAAATTGACTTAAGAGTTAAAAAAAAGTTAAAAAAGGGTAAAATAAACCAAAAACTATCAACTTCTTTTTAACCAAAGTTAACCAAGAAGTTAAGTTTAACTATCATAACGTTAATTTTACCATAATTAAATTCCCCACTTATTACAAAATAACGTTAATTTAACCAGTGGTGCTACTTGGGTAGTAAGTATTTAAAAAATGTAAAACAGCTTTAATTCCCTGTAGTTTTATGTAAAGCATTACACCGCGTTATTACAAAGGAAGCCGATGTTTTATAAAATAATAAAAACAGTAAAGAATATTCGGTGCTCTATAGAGCGGTATACCGTTCTCATAATTGTATATAGTTTATTTGCTTTATTTTTTGGAAAAATAAACCATTTGGTAACAATTTTTTTAAGTTGGTTGGGGACAATGCGCCTATTTTTTTGTGGCGCCTAAGGCAATTGCCTTGCCTGCCTAATGGGTAATATGGCCCTGACCCCTAATTTTAATCAATACTTTTTAACAAACATAATAAATTTATTATCCTCAAATAATATAATAATAAATTTAACAAAACATACAATCAAAACAATCTATGTCAAGGAAAAAAATAACCAGGAGATATTTCAGTTAAAAAGAAAATAATTAAAAAAGTCTCAGCTGCAGGCTACGACGATATTGTGGTTGAGGATCTGTTTATTATTATTGAGTTCATTTTGCAAATTATTACAAAACTAACAAATCATCCGGTAGACAAAATTAGACGAAAAAAACGAAAAAAATGGACTGGAAAAATTTGGTCAAGAAGTAGGTCTCCTGAAGCAAAAAAAAGGTAAAATTTTGAATTTCCACCAGGATTCAAAAAAAGGAATTCACAGACTCACAAGCAACATAAACAAAATTTTCCATACTTAATTGCAATTAGATCCAAACATTTGAAAATCATCTAGCATTGCTCCATCGGCCGCCGCACCGAAACGCGAATCTGACCGGACAAAAAATTTTTAGTGCCAATCTTATAGGAAATTTTACGCTGATTCTAAATATACCCTATATTATTATAATTAATGCATTTTTTGTGAAAAAAACCTTAAATACCACGTTTATAAAATATTTTTCTCTCATAAGAACCGTTCTAAACGACTTTTGTTCAATATAAAAGTTATAGACAATTAAATTTTGCTTTGATTGACTGCTAAATAAGCCGGAAGTTCAGTGAGTTATTGAAGTTAGAAATTTTTCATTCGCGGAAAATACCATAAATTGGCACATAAAAGTTAATATTTTATCGAGTTTATTAAAAAAATAAAATTGTTGATAATTCAATTCTGCGTCGATGAAACACCAATTTTATGAAGTTATCCCAAAATTGAAGGAATTACTACTTTTTTACACCTATCTGTTAAACTGATTATCCGGCACATACGTGCACGTAATAATTCTTTCAAATATACATTCAGCAACTACCATAGGTCGCAAAAAGAACAATTCCAGCTGCGAATATTTGCGATTAATCTTAATACCCTAAACGTTTTAAAAAAGGATGTAACTACTAGATAAATAATTAGGAATGGTCAACAATAGGTAATTTTTAATGTTTATTTTCTCTAGGACATTTTGCCAACTCCCAAATCATCGTCACATCGTTCAGCAGAGAAGAGACCTCTTCGCTTAAGGGCTGGGGATTGCTGAGTGGAATGTGTTGAAAACCTGTAATAACTGGATCCGAAGAAATTAATAATTGATTAACATCTCTATTTGTGTGTATTCTAGACATTTTTCTTGAAAATTTTTCACGATATTCCTTAAATTCTTTGTGCCTTATCTCCTGCACATCTTCCGATAATTGGCCAATAGGAATGGAAAAGTGTTTTATAAATCTACACCCGCGTATTAGGATTTTATATACCGTTACAGGCATAGGATACCACTCATATAATCTCACAAACAATTGTGATGTTTCAGTTGCCTAATTCTCGAATTTGTGCTCGTCGATTTAGAGGCCCGAAAATATTACTTTTAATATTACTCCGCATCGTTCAATTAATTGTTTATTAACGCCAGTAATAAGAGAAGAGATGACCGCATTATTGAAAAACCTTCTAGCGCTATTGCCATCATTCGTGTTGCCTCATCCTTGCTTTGGAGTATCCAAAAGTAGGCCTGTTTCTGACCTAAATCTGGTGATAATCTCCTGTTTTCGATGTTTCACTAGGTTTTTCTCTTCTGTCCGGGCTTGCCATTTTCCAATACATAACTTAAATGAAATGTGCAGAAAGAATTCCATAAACCTTATGTATGCGTGGAGGCTTGAGTTTCGCCAAGAGAAATTTTCCTCTACACATGGTCTTTGTTTGACAATAGTAAGCTGATACATTATCTTGGGGGTGGCCCCACAAATAAAACATGTTTGTGTGGAGGCGTTATGTGCAAGTACATAACACACTTTACCGTCGGCCATGGTCAGCAAAAAATTAAATAAAACTGTTACTCTTCTTCCCTTTACTTCAAGTTTAGACGGCTTTAGCTCCCGAATTTGTTGTTCAATGTGTGATACTTCGTTTTGTAAATCAAATTCAGTTTCTTTAATGAACCGAAATCGAATCGGTCGGCAAAACCTTGTAGAGGACGGTCTTGGATTTTCCACACGGTAGCTGATCCTGACATAATATTGATGAGAACAAGAGAAGTAGAAAGAACTGAAGAATAATCAACCACATCCATTTGACTTCCTCTCTGTTTGTATCGATTTAGACCTCCACACCCGTCACTCCCCCATTTAAACGTTATAATGTATTCATTAGTTAAACCGTGCATATCAATACCTTTTTTAACCATACAAAATCTCTTCACGGTCAAGTCAACAATAGATTGCAATTTGATTTCGGCCATTGTATCGGTAACGACTATATCTGAGGTCGGGGGGTAGCACAAAACCTTAGCTTCAGTAATTTTATGGTAGGAAGGATATAAACTAATCCCTTTATTTATTGATCCTTGTCGTAACATCAAATATTGATGTTTTGTCAATTTGCATGATATCATTAAAGAAAGAGCGTCTTCAAGAGTATACAATGAAGGCTTCTTCGTGTGCCTGTCTTCCCAACTTTTCGTAAAATTTGTTGCTCTTTTTGGAGACGCATTTATATTCTTAACTAAGTCTGCAGCATCCCTCTTCCCTGTTTTTCTTAATTTACGCTCTGTGGCTAAACAAAGTTCCGACAATGAATATTGCTCGACAATTCCCACCACCTTTCTTTTTTTCGACTTTTCGCCACTGCTGCTGAAGTCTTTTGCAGGCCGCCCTCTCTTCTCTTCACTGCTAATTGGCTTGTCGCTGCCTGAGTCCAGAAGTTTAATCGAACCACTTAACCAGTTAGCATGTTTAATGAGAATATACTCGAATTTTCGGGAACATTGAATCCAATATCGTTTTAGAACTTTAAAAAAACTAGACATCCTTTTCTTAATATCTTTCCCCTCTTGCTGAGAGCAGTTATTTAGGTTGTTGTGAACTTTAACATACTCCACGAGCATGGTAACACCTTCTATTTGATTCGGAAACTTATCATTTCTTCTCATGTACCTTAACAAATCGTTTCTCGAAACCAACATTTTTTGTCCTGAGAAAGAAAAAATAGAAAAATATAAACACCTAGGGCCTTATGCAGAAACGTTGATTTATTTATATCAACTGATTTAGCATATCAGTGGATATAGGTTTTTGCACGACATGGCAACGCAGTATTTTTCTTTAAAAACTGTTGTTTTATAAAATAAATTGGGTAATTATCTTTCAACGTTTATATTTTCCATAAAAAAGTCCATTTCTATACATTGACATTTTAAATTAGACATAAAACAATTAAAATGTCATCAAGATTTATTTGACTTTGTGACATTTGCTTTTAACCTTAGAAAATAATTTCGCTAATAAAAGTCATGGGTTACTTGATATAATTTATGTAAGTCGTTAACGACTGATTTAAAATATGAATAAAAATAGACAGTATTTTTGCTTGTAAATATAGGTAGGTATATGAAAAAATAAATTCAGAAGGTAAACATACCTATAACAAAGATATAATTTTTTACATTTTTTTAAAGATAAAATTACTACCATGTTAATTATATCAAACATCTTTTTTTTTGTCTGATTGAAAAGCAGAATACTTGAAATCAATTCATTTATAACATTCTTTAGTTTCATTCTAAAATAATTACCCCTAACATGGAACTTAAGTGAAAATATTTATTTTTTTAAATTAAAAAACATAAATGATTACTTTTTAATACAGGGTGTTTAATTGGGAAACGGACATATTTTAAGTGCAGGTAGGAACCACCGAGAGGGTTCTAAAATACCCACATTTGGTGGGTCTATCGCCCTTTATTTCAGAAATACAGGGTGATTCATTAATTTTGCTCATTTCTTTAATTGCACATAACTTTTAAACGGCTTCGTATTTTTTTCTCAAAATTGATGTACGGATTAAGGGTCTCCTACCTAATAAGTAGGTATACCAAGTTGCAAAAAATTCCAGGTCCGGCTTGGCCAAAATTTTCCAAATTCTGTGTACCCTCAAAAATCACCCTGTACATTAGAATTTTGAATTTTTTTTTCTTCCTCATAAATAAGTATTAAATTAGCTAAAAAAATTTACTCATCATCTCATAATTAAACTCATCTTTCGACAGAAAAGTTTATCAACAAAATTTTACGTGTGAAAGAACAAGTTTGAACAATTTTAAATTTATCTAGGTTCATATCTAATTAAATTCTTACTTTTCTATTTTACAGGGCCACGGGTACAGGGCCGTACTTTTCAAGTAAAAAAATAAAGTTTCATTAAACATAGCTTAATAGGAACTTCAATATTTATTATTTTTTTAAATAACAGCTAACAAAAAATAACAACACAAAACAACAACTTTTAAAAAATAGGCATTTTCCATTTAAAAACTAAATCAAAACAAATAAAGTTATAACAATTGCTCAAAAGAAAATTTAGTTAATATCTTAAAAAATAGACACTTTGAACCGAAAACTGACAAAAACTATCCAACATTTTTTCTTAATCCCGTAAATGATTCGGACATTTTTAATATAATAAATAGTCTAAAGAACTCAGGATCTGCTGGTTTTGATGAAATAAGTTCTATTGTTTTAAAACAGTCTATACATTTTGTTGTAAAACCTTTAACATACTTAATAAATTACTCTTTAAGTGAAGGTGTTTTTCCTACTAGTCTAAAGACTGCTAAAGTAATTCCGTTGCACAAAAAAGGTGATTACAGCAACATTCAAAATTATCGACCGATTTCTTTATTGTCAACAGTATCTAAAGTACTAGAAAGAGTAATTTTTAACCAGTTAATTCAGTATATGGAAAAATACAATATTTTATCACCATCACAACATGGATTTTTAAAGCGGAAATCAACGAAAACGGCTTTTTCTGAGTTCTTGTTAAATGTGTATGAGAATCTAAATAATAAAAACAGGTGTATCGGTATTTTGCTTGATCTAAGCAAGGCTTTTGATCTAGTAAATCATTGCATACTTTTAAAAAAGCTTAATATGTATGGGTTTCGCGGCAAAATATATGATTGGATAAAATCATACCTTTCTGGTAGATCACAAATTGTTGATTTGGATGGAAATAGATCTGAAAAATTGAATCTTGAATGCGGAGTTCCACAAGGATCTGTGTTAGGTCCTATTTTATTCATAATTTTTATTAACTGCGTATCTTTTATTGTAAATGAAGAAAATTTAGTCATATTTGCCGACGACACTTCATATCTTTCATCTGAATCCACTTTACTTAATTAAGTTCTAAGTGCCCAAAATATACTAAATACTCTTATGCAGTGGTTTGAGGAAAATAAGCTTTTAGTAAATACCGGTAAAACTGTTTTTATGAACTTTCAATTTAAAAAGTCGCAAAATCCCGAAAGTCAACTGTTAAAAATCAATAACAAATCTATAAAGCAAGTTGAAAACACTAAATTTTTGGGAATTTATCTCAATGAATGTTTAAGTTGGGAATATCATATAACTGAATTATGTAAACAATTATCTAGCGTTTGTTATGTTTGTTATAGGCTCAATAGCATAGTTAATAGAAGCGTTATTATTTCATATTATTATGCACATTTTTACTCACGTGTAAGTTATAGTATACTATTTTGGGGATCATCTACAAATGCTTTGGAAGTATTTAAAATGCAAAAGAGAGCCGTACGAAACTTAGCTGGTATGGGTTTTGGAGAATCCTGTAGAAGCATTTTTAAGGAACTAAATATATTACCAATACCGTGTATTTATATTAAGGAGGTATTACTTTTTGTTAAAAGTAATTCATCTTTATTTATAACCAACAACTATGATCACACGTACAACACTAGATCCCGGAATGAATACAGGATTCCCAAACACAGTACTAGCACATATGAGCAAAATCCTGTATATGCCGGAATTCAGTTTTATAACAAACTTCCCCAACACCTAAAATGCATAAACAATATAAATATTTTTAAAAGAAAACTGCACCAGTTTTTAATTCAAAAATAATTTTACAGTGTTGGGGAATACTTAAATATGTAATTTAAAATATTTGTTTTTTTGTTTTAATTTTGTTTTTTTGTTTTAATTTAGTCTTAATACCTATTGTGTAATTATTACTATGTAACCTGGACTAGTCCAATACCTTTTTAGGTCATTTGTGGACAATAAATTACTTTACTTTACTTTACTCAAAATGACGGCCGTTTTGTTCGATACATTTTCTTGCTCTTGGAGCAATTTGATTCACCGATTTTCGAAGAAACTCTGGATTATTTTTTAGATTTTCGAAAGCATTTTCTATTCTGTTAATAAGTTGTTCTCTATCCATGATATCTACGCAATACACATGTGATTTTAAATATCCCCAAACATGATAATCCATAGAGTTGAAATCAGGCGATCCACCCAGTTATTAGGACCACCCCCGCCTATCCACCTATTTGGAAAATTGTCATTTAAGAAATAAGTGACAGTTCGCCTGAAATGGGGAGGTGCCCCATCATGCTGGAAGTACATTCCAGCAACATCTACACCCGCATCTAACAGTAGTATTGGCAAAATGTTCTAAACAAAGTCTAACTAAATAACTCCAGTTAATTGATTTGGGAAGATATGGGGCCCAATTAGTTTATTGTCAATAATTCCGGACCATACATTTACCGAAAATTTGCGCTGGGAGCTTCTCGTTTAGCCCTTGGGTTTTTCCCTGCCCAGACATTCATGTTCCTTAAATTGTACACTCCGTCCCTCGTAAATTGCGCCTCATCCGTTAATAAACAATTTCTTAATATTCCTTGATTTCAAATTACCCATCTGCTAAAAGTCATTCTTCTTTCCCAGCCTCTAGCCTTTGAACTTGCTGTATATGGTACGGATGAAGTCTTGTTTTTTTAGACGTCTTCAAACTGTAGCGTGGGGTACATTTAGCGCATTGCTTACTCGTCTGATACTAATTTGCGGATTGTTGGTAACCATGTTCAGGATATTATTTTCCTGATTTAGGTGGCGCCTTTTGTTGTGCTCATTTAATTTTACAGTGGAAAAAGTCCCATGTTCTTTAAGGTATCCGAAAACTCTGGGAAATGTCTTTGAATCCGGAGTTCTTCGATTGCGAAATCTACTTCCATATTCTTCTTTCGCCGCCTGTGCACTACCATTACAAAACCGGTATACAAAAATAATATCAGCATAATCTCGATGAGAATATCGGATCGGCATTTCTTAATACTTTTTAATTTTATTTCCAGAAGTATTAATAATTTAATTTGTTTGATAGTTTCTATGCAAAAAAACAAATGAAGGGCAACAGTAGATAACATTTTAATTCCAGAGCCTACTGCAATTATTTATCAGCAACAATGACTATTCGCCATTCGGTGATATTTTTGCTGAACTACTAAGCAATAGGTATTATTATGTTGCTGGTGTTGTCGAGCTTGTGCGTGTGTGTAATAAACAGGATTGGTTTGCATTGTATGCGTAGCATAGGTTGAGGCTTGGGGAAAATATTCGGTGCGAGTAATAGCCAGAATATTTTTAGCAGTGTACTCGGCTGTAGTTGCTCGCTCGAGTGGAGCAGTGACTGCTGAACCTGAGGGTTTGCTAGGCCTTAAATAAATTGTCAGAGTAAAAGTTTCTCACCAATTGTTTTTGTCCCCGTTGAGTCCAATGCAGCAGCCTTGAATTCGCGGAGTCTTGCTACATATTGAAGAATATTTTCGCCTGTGAGTTGCTTTGTGTTGATGAATTTTGCGTACGCAGCAGGTGCACTGATTTTAGGCGAAAAATAACTTTTTAATGCCACCTTTATCTCGTCGAAAGTTGCCTCTTGTAGTGTTTTGTCCTTGCTCTTGAAAAGGTCTGCGATGAGGTCGAAGAAACGTGCGTGTCTCCGAATGATGTTTCTAGGGATTCGATCCAACGGACCCATTGCACTGGTTTGTCTATATCGAACGTCGGGTGCTTATTGTCGTAAACAATTTGCGGCTTGTTGTTTGCAATAGCTTTCGCC